GCGTCAGAGATGGAATTAATTGGTTCTCTGCCCTTGGTAACCATGGGAAGTTGTTCTGTTTGATGCGGGAAACGGGGAGCAGGAGACCCGATGTTAGTGGAACTATACGTGACGAGAATGGACATTTAATCCACAACTTGTCAAAACTCTTGGGACGTTATGCTGAGCTCTTTGAAATGCCATTTAATCGGCCGTAAATTTTAAATTCCTTACCGCGGATCTTAGAGCCATAGTGGTCAAGGCGTCAACCTTTGAACATCATGCCTCGTGGTCCACCCCAGCTCAGGCTATCTCCATCTAATGAGTCCAAAGGAGGACTAAACCGGTTATGGGGTGTCAGGGTTGGGTGGAGCAACATCGAACCACCAATTATGCGAACCTTTTACGCGCGTCACTCACGCAGCGTGAAAGCTTACGGCAAGCTATTGCCTCCTTTTAATATCTCCAGCGGTGTAAGGTAAGGATGTCCACTATCGCCTCTCCTCTTTAACTTCGCTGTTTACGAAGTCATGGGATTTTCGTTCACAGGACACGACTTACAAAGTGTGGAGCTGCTCCCAGGTGAACGACTTTTTGACTTGGAGTATGCTGACGACATTGCCCTCATATGTGACAGCTCACAAACGTGCCAGGCGGCACTGGACAGATTAGCACTGGCTGTTTGTCGTTTCGCGTTATGCTTTGCACCCTCGAAGTGGAAAGTTTGCCTTCAAGTTTGACAGGGACCGAACCCTGCTCCGACTCTTGGTGAGGATCAGCTAGAAGTCATTCAGAGATTCAACTACCTAGGTAGTTGTATCAGCGCCGTTGGAATCGCAAACGAGGTTACAAACTGTAAAGCAAAAGCACGAGACGCTTTTTCTAACCTTCGCCACCTTTGGCGCCGTTGCGACATCACACACACACTCTCTCTCTGAAGGTTAGATTATGCAATGCAGCCGTACTTTTGACCCTGCTGTTCCTTTGTGAAATCTGGCCCCTTATATCTGCGGACATAGTTCCGTTCGACCACCGGTGCCTTCGCAGTTTGGCTCATATTTGGTGTTAATACCGTGTGAGCAATGAGTATGCTCGACGCCTTGTTTATAGCGCAGCAAGTAGAAGTGAGCTGGTTGGCACTGTTTTCTCACACACCTGTCTCCGATAGCTTTGACACGTATTGCGCATGCCCAGCCCACCGACTCCCATGGTGTGTTGTTTGCGCGCCATGGGTGTGGATGGAAGAAGAGGAGAGATGGTCAAGCGGTGACTTGGTCAAGAGGTATGAAGGCCCCTACTTCAAAGTTGGCCTCGGTTAGAGCCTCTCGGCTCCCTGGTTGAAGACCGGCGGACGATGAACACGTTTGCTTGGGCACACTGGTTGACGTGGCTAGGAGCAGACCTCAAGGGCTTATGTGTTGTGAGTTCCTTTGTCCCTCCTCTCTCGCTTAGCCTCCCCCTCCAACCACGATCTCATTTATTAGGCATAATATAACTCCTTTTTGCGGTACATTAACTAGCTGTTAGCTCTCCGGAACGATGTCAATCCGTTTCTGGTGACTCAGTTGGCGTGCCACTGTTTCACTGTTTTCTTTTCTTTTGTATTGCGGCAACATGGCTGAGGTGTGTTCCACCTGCAGCTTGCCTGTATATTGATGTATGATGAATTATATTGCCGACTCACCGTAGTCTGGTTTCTCGATATCTAAGGTATCTTTGGTTTGGTGGGTCGATGCGTTCTTAGGGTCTCTTCTTAGAAAAGTTATACCCTAGAGATACGTAAATATTATAGGAACACTTTACACAGGTAGCTTGGTCATGGTGACGACTTATACCAGAATGTCGCCGCGGTTATAGACAAGGATGCCAGCTATCGTCCTTACTTTTTGATTACGCTATTTGTGAACTCATGGAAACCGCATTCACTTGACACGAACTAAAAAGTACGGAGCTGCTTTCAGGTGAGCCACTTCTTAACTTGGAGTACGTCTGTGATATCGCTCCAAGTTGTATAGCTCACAAACGTGCCAAGCACACTAGACAGATCAGCACTGGCTATCAGTCCTTTTCGGGCTATAATTTTCGCCATTAAAATGCGTTTTTCTCAAAGATTAGCAACTATGTCAGCGCTGTATGGTCGAAGATGGCAAAAGCTGGAGGTGCTTTTGCCCATCTTCGCCACATGTGGTGTTTGTAGAGTTGGGTCTACAATGAAGCCGTCCGTTCAACCCTCCTGTACGGTAGAGTAATTTGGCCCATCAGATTCTTAGACCTAAGGAAGTTTGGTTACGTTAAACACCGGGGCGCAGCTTACTTCGCGTCTTTTCGGAACACCGCGTGAGCAATGAGCATGTTTGACACCTTGTTTATGACGCAGGAAGAGCAAGTTATAACTGCTCAATGCCATTATATCACACATTAGGCTCCAGTGGCTGGGTCATAGGCTACGTGTGCCGGTACATGCGTTGTTTTCATGACCGGTTTATTGATAGCATAAGAGAAGGGAGCCTGGGCGATGACTTGGTCAAAAAGAGTGAAGGCCTCGGTTGTAGCTCCTAGGGTCCCTTGTCGGGGTTCTAAGAACGACGAACTCGTTTGCTTAGTTAATCCTGTTGATGTGGCGAAAAGCAGAAAACATTGGTATTTGTATTGTGGGTTTCTTTATCCCGTTCCATCTCGCTTAGCCTTGTCCTCCAACCACGAGACAGTTGTTAGCGCACGATATAACCTCAAGTATACTACTACTAATAATAATAGTAATAATACTAATATGTCAGCTGTACGCTGTAACAGCGTTTTGCTGGCGTGCGACCACCACCAGTCGCACGCGGAATGAGTATACCGCGATGACGCCTACCCCTACGCCGATTCGAACCCGCGCCGCAAGATTACGAGACAAGCCCTTTACCTCTAAACTACGGGCCGACAAGTATGATAATGTGTTCTGTTTTTCTTTTTTACTGTCATCTAGTTAAATTGTATTGCGGCACACTGAATGGCGTGTTCTTCACCCATAGCTGTGTGGGATAATGTACGGTCACTAGCATGGTTTTTTGTCACACTATGCAGTGCGTTAGAGAATGCGAGCCAAAAGAAAATATCACACGCGCAGTGTCTGACAAGCCCTTGCGATGCATGAACTTTTTACTTTCTCTTGCTGAGATGGGCATTTTGCGTCCTGGCTTTACTTAACAAACTTTCCAACTGAGGAGTTGGTAATGCATGGTGCATAGTTTTAGAGGTGTTACGATCGAGGGAACGCCTGCTAAGATTGTCATTGGCACGGTTGGAGCAGGCGTACGGTAACGACTTGGAACTCTGGCAAATCGAACGGATTTGCGATGACCTGATGCCGTTAGCTTAGCCCGGGGTACGCGCTGGTGAGACGGAAATTGAGCAAGCGTGAGAACTATCCTGGCTGCATGTATTCGGGTAGACGCGGAGCCCTCGGAAGGGACGCACACGAGAGGGGGTTACGGTAGCCACGCACTATTGACTTAGACGCGAACGCTGCCCGGCTATCGACGCATACAAAATCACTTGACCGACCGACTCCCAACTAAGGGGAAGAAGAAGAAAGGCAAGTGGTCCTCTGAAGGCTATTTTACGACCAACAAAGGGCAAATCGCAGCCAATGCTATGGGTCGCTAAGTTAGGGAATATAGCTACCACGACGGGGTGGTAATTTTAAAAGAGCATTGTTAACAGGTGCGCAGTTGGGCCGCGTCTCGGACTGGCTGAACACTGCTATGTTGTGGGGAGGAATTGGACCTCGCTTGCGACAGCCATTATGCCGGAGTTTCTGGTGCGTTTTTGTGGGGATATTTGACGGGCCCGCAACAAGAGGTCACATCGATGTCTCGGTTTTTGTGACTTGTTGGGATCGCTTGAAACATCGGTCATGTTTCCATAACCGGCTGGTGGTCTCTTGTGCTTTGTAGGTACTTTTGTATTTGGAGGTGCACCCCAGTTTTCTGCGTGCATCGATCCAGCAACGTGTTAATCTTCTCTGGCATTTCGAATCCTCATCTCCATCCATAGTACCTTTCTGTTGGAGAGCAAGACAACTCTTTCATATCTAGCATAATCGGATAGCTGTGGCGCCAGTTTTTCTCCAAGTTCACTCGAGGCGTCAAATAGCGCTCTGTGAAGGCACACATCCACTAACTGGTGTTTCAACTTGCCTACCCGAGTAGGTGTACCACCTCTGGTGCTTAAACCACTATCACTGCACGAATTCATCAGACGTGTTTCTTTAAAGGCCTTAGATAGTTATAAAGGCTGGAAACATCATCGCATTCCTGGATGAGACTTTCCGAGTGGCTTGCATTACCGCTTGACAAATGATTCTGGTGATGATTTTGGTGACGCCATCGAACAACTCCCAAGTTTTGTTATTTCCTGCCGCTTCTATCGATTTTGCTATTTCCTCTCTCCTTTTAACTCTTTTGTTTCTTCTCCGGCTATTTCTCTGCCATTTTGATTGTTGTTCATTGGTAACTTGAGCGTAGCTAACTGGAACTACCGCGCCTAAGTGCACAGATCGTGCTTGATTAACGGAACTGAGCGGGAAGCTCACTTTTGTACTTCTGGCTCCACTGTCTTTCTCACCTCTTCCTTGATCTTTTCTTAGAGCTATTCACTGTAACATCGAGACTTCACTAAGTACTACTACTTCATCGTAGATGGTTGTTCTTTGAATGTGAATGCAGGTTAGACCCAACCAGTTTTAGACACGCTGTCCTCATCATAACTCGAAAATGACCATTTATCGTACTACCCCAGCAATGCCGCAGTAAAAGGCTTTGGTGTATTGCTTTTGTCAATGATGACGCTGTGGCCCGCACGGTCCTATTCTTGAAATGTTTATGTGCCATTTCGGCTACCCATGCTCCCACGTTTGTGGGCATATTTAACGCATCAGTTTTGGAAGTATTCTTTTTCGAGTATCAGTCGTACTTGGAGAAGGAATACCACATTTTTGAGCACTTTAATCTCCTTATTCTTTATATCCACGATAGCTCCTCTTTCCACCAACGGTGTGGACTTCATCAATATCCATCGTCTCTTTCTCATGCGATGAATATCAGCGGTTTTGAGTTAGTTCAATCTGTGGAATCCGCTTTCTGTCCGAATGGATTTTGCAGCTCCGTTGTCCCACTGTGTTTTGCTGGTGTTAGCCCTGGGTATATTCAATTTTACTCCGCCTAATTCCATCTCCAGCTGCGCTCGGAATCGATCAACTTTGGGGTGGCACCATTTTTCGTTTGGTGAACATGTGTGCCGTGTGTGCTTCGAATTCCTCGGGTACGTTTCTTAGGGTACATTTTTACACTTACAAATACTTACATTGTTCTTCGCAATTAGATTACAAGCCCAATGAACTTTATCGATCCGGAGAACCACCAATCGGGATTCGTCAGTGGTGCGCATTCCTTCGGTCTCCTTCAGGGAACCGATCCCATGACTGCTAGCGATTTGCACCACTAGCCAGCAGCTTATACGAGTGAACCATGGGGGACGATGGCTGATCATTCGGGGATTGAAATCTAACAGCGACATAACCATTCCCATCCTTTTCTGCCATGCAGGTTACTGCCCGTGCAGAAGACAGTGGTTAACTGTCCGGGTCATGACATCCCTTGCCAGTGCCGTAAATCCACACAGCATTTCGAAAGCTGTTAAGGTTAAATTTTGGCTATTCGTATGTGTCTATTAGGAGTTTTCATCATTGACGACACCTCTGTGATCATTTTCACTCTCCAAGGCGTAAGCCCCATTGTGTCGATTCCGCTTGGCGACACCGCTTGAGTTCATGGAGGCGAGAGCGGAGTCGTAAATCGAGCACTCGCGGCCGTCAGATTGGAACCACTGAGGCCGACTTCCTCGCTGCGCAATTATTACCCTGGTGGCTACAGTGTCGTCTATGCGGCCGTTGGCGGCAGTTACCTCCGCGTCGACCTATCGGTGACCCAGATTCTGCATATCACCCCAATGTCTTCACCTGCTCGTCTGTGATAAAGGTAAGCCCATATATGCATATAGTGCTATTTCTTTATCTAACCCATGTACAAAATCGTCGATAATTCACCCACTTGTTCCCACATCATGCAGGACAAATGAAACAATTTAGCCGACTATTTAGTCTGGCACTCTGTTCAACTTGAATCTATTAGAATTCATACACCACTTTGCTTCTTACATCTAGCCTATGCAATGCGTGATACAAACCGCTGCTGATTACACATTTCTCGATTATCAGTCCAGCTTCACTAATCAACTTTCTAATTGAAATTTTTTGAATACTCCATATAATTATTCAACCTGGGCTTCCACATGCAACCATTATTCTTTATCAAAAGTCCAAGGCGCTTTTACCACCTATGGCGCTAGCGTGCCATCATTCTCACTCTGAAGATTGGAATGTACGATGGAGCCGAACGCTCGACCATACTGTGCGGTTGTAAAAACCTGGCCCGTTAGATTGGTAGCCATAAAGAGGCTAGTTACCTTCGACCACCGGTGCCTTCGCCGTTTGGTTCATATTTGGTGGGGACACCGTGCGTGCACCGAGCATGTTCGACGCCTCGTTTATGGCACAGGAAGAAGAAGTGAACGGCTCCGCGCCGTTATTTCACGAACCAGACTCCGATGGCGCATGCCAGCGCACTCACCCCCTCGACGTGTTGTTTGCGCGCGGGGCGTGTGAATGGAAGTAGAGGAGGGGTGGCTAAGCGGTGACTTGATCAAGAGGAATAAAGGCCCTTACTTTGAATTTGGCCTCGGTTGGATCCTTTCGCCTTACTGGTCGGAGCTCGAAAGACTATCAACATGTTTGGCTGGGGATACGCTTGTTGATATAGCTAAGAGCCGAGCTAAGTGTTGTTTGTGTCGCGTTTTTTATCTCCCTCCTTCTGCTTAGTCTCTCCCTCCAAACACCATCTCATTTCTGATACATAATATGGTTTTTTTTCTTGCGGCACAGTAGCTGGGTGTTAACTCTCCCGAACTGATGCCCATTCGTTACTGGTGGTTCAACTGGCGTGCCTCTGTTGCCTTTTTCTTTTCGTTTATATTGCGGCACCATAGCTGAAGTGTTTTCCACCTCTAGCTAATGAATGAATGAATTGATTTTTATCAGCATTTCATCAGATTAGCTGATGAAGGTTCATCTGTGATAGTTTGAATGCAGTCCATTAACATATGGCCCATGCGTGAACAATTTCCCCATTAGCTGATCACTCCTGTTTGTTTAATCGTGCCTCGCGCAAATCGTGACTAAAAGTTATTTGTTTATTTATCTCTGCCGCTGTATTACCGTTCAGGAGGTCCAGTTATCCAGCGATATGATTTCACGTCATCGTCTACCGACCAATATGCTCATTCACATTCTTCTTGGTTGATCATGCGGCTATAATTACTTCCCAATTCGCTCCCTCTGAGTTGAGATCCCTTGGCGAAGCTCATTGTCTATTAGGGAAACCAGCTTGTGAAAGAGCGACCTTGTTTTCCGGATACCTATTGTGGTTTTTAAATCTTCGAATTCTTTAGTCTGTACCTTTTTGTTTCTCCTAGACCACAACTTCATCTTACCCGCTTCCTGAATTTACACAATATGCTTTGCATACTGTGTTATGGGAGCAAGTGTTAATTTGAAATAGGGTGAAACGGGTTATAAAACAAAAACATTTTATGACCTGTCAACATTAATCGTTCTTCTAGTCTCCACGTGATAACGTAACTCACACTAAATTGAGGCTCACAAATGTGAAACGTCATTGTCAGTGAATACTCGTAATATGATATTGAAGAAATACAGATCCAATAATGTCTTGAACTGCGGTACTGAGTTTGATTCCATTTTATGCTCTGGCAAACTGTCTCAGACATGGACCACTCACCGTTCAAAATGCAGATGATGGGAACTCGTTTCAACTCTGGCACCACGACTTTGAATCTTTGTCATCGTATACTGCAGGCTGTTCTCAAGGGAACAGTGGACTTAGCATGGGGAAGTCTCTTCGACATAGAAGGCGATAGGTCATGACGATGTCGACTCGCAACCAACGAAAGGTCAGGGTGTATAATCCCAGCATTTCGCACCTCTCTACCTGCCCTACTCCCCGCAAACTTGGGATGAGCTTGGTAGCAGCGTGTTGTACCCGTTCAGTGTTCTGCGTCTCGCGTCAACTGGTTGTGCAATGGGTGGGCGACCACTTCAGACCAAGTACAGAAGTTGCGTTTGAGCGCCCAAGGCATACACAGTCCGTTTCGGTATAGCGCGTTCGTCTTCTCCATGGACTTCAATTAGTATTGGAAGAGCACGCCTAGGGTCTTCACGAAAGACGTGGGATGTAGCAGTTAGCTATCAAGATTGCAGCTTCGGTGGTCACAACCCTTTTCCAGGCACATGAATACCTGTTTGAATGCGTTAACTTGGAGGCGGATTTCTGCGGACTACATGGAGAAGCGGTTGAGGTCTTGTTGTAGTAGACCGCAGTCGTCGGAAGTGCTTATCACTTTTCGCATCTTCAGGTCCTCCGCAAACAAGGCACATGGAGACCGAAGAAGCTGAGCTCTATCGTTGATAGAGATCAGGAGCAATGGGAGCCCAACACCGTGCCTTGGCGTACGCCACTGGTAGAAGGTCGTGGTCGATCTGTACCCTTCAGTTACACCAAACGAAAAACAGATTCACTGGTGCAGTGACCCGCCAACACCGCACTTCCTCAGCTTGTGCATGAGAACCTTATGGTTCACCTTTCTCGAACTCTGCTGAATTCAACGTAGATCACGTCGATAGACCTCCTTTGATACACTACCTCGTCACCAGTAGGTTTATACTGTATACATGACCTGGCATCAAACTGTGCAGTGCGGGCGTCAGTCGATCTTTTGATCGGAACGGCTGCAGCAAACTTTTCACGATCTTCCCGGCCTAAATAGGTGTCAAACAAACTGATCTGTAATTGTCTATTTTGTTACAGCCACCGCTTTTCGGAATCGGCCTTATCACCGAGCATTTTCAATCAGTCAGCAACAGAACTTACACTGTTATACTGTACAGCCGTCCACTGGTCGGCTTTGACTTACCCAGTGTACAACAAGTTAAAGTCCGCGAGAAGATTTTATTTTTCTTAAATCTTCAATAATTGGAGCAGGGATTGATGCATATCTTTCACGAGCGATTCTGCTTATCGAGTTTGCTGGAATTTGTCCAACGATTTCACTTCATTTAAGTCATCATTCCCATTAGCGTCACATCGATACATTGTGTGTCGTCGTCTCACAGCAATGCAGCCAAGATGGCTTTGCTGGTGATTTAGGAAGAAAAGGGACTTGGTGTGAGTCTAGACCCTCTGGGCGGACATTCAGTGTCAGGCTCCCCTATACTTTCCACCACCACCAAAGCCGTATGCTGCGCCATTTGAGCTAGTTTGACCACGTCCTGCACATGCCTAACGGCTTTCACCACGTCGCGTTTTACTTGCGTTTGCAGAGACGCATTAGACAATACCGTGTGGAGGCTTATTAATCAGTTGATGAGAAAACATCAAATCATTGCCATCTCGTCTAGCCATTGCTGGCCCATGTATCGTTTGGGTTAGGGACCCAACGATGAAGAATGCTAGGGACTTACAACGCTCAAAGCAATGACGTAAAACCCATTGCAATGAAAGCAATGTGCTGTTCGCTGAGATTGGCAGTTTCGTTGCAGATATTTCGTTACCAATTGTGGTGACATCATCGTTGCCTTGTTAGGAGTGCCACTCATCGGCGCTTCCCTACGCTGCGCTAGCACCCACTACTCAACAACTCACTGATCATGTTACCTCGATTGGTGACGAAACATCTGCAGAGAACTGTCAGGCTCATCAAACAGTTCGATTGTCATCAGAACAATCTGAGCTACCAGTTTTCGCTTTTTTTCCGAACCACTGTGCGCAACTTTTGTGTGAACTCTACATTTCAAAGACACTAACTCTCAAAAGATACTTAGAAGAAAAACTAGTATTCTTTATTGCTTTTAATTATTGGAAATCCTGCTTGCGTCATATTGACTAGGCACCTTCCCTACGACTGGCACGCAGATTCGCATTATGGTCGATCATGTTCCCCAGATACCTCAGGATTGTACAAACTATGCTCGCTTCTGTGACAGCTCAAAGTGTCATTCTCTGGCTCCCGTTTCCTTTGCAGCTCTCCACTGATCCATGCTCATGGCCGGTTGATGAGGTAAGTACAGTGCCTTCTAATGTATGAATATATATATATCGTCTTTAAAAGTTTCTCGGCACCAGTTGGATGTTGTTGTTCGGCATCACTTACGCACTACTCTGCACATTTATTTCTGTCGTCCAACTAACGGCACGTTTTGATTCCTTCCTGACTCGCATCCTTCTTGGTGCCCCTGTTGTATCATTTTTCGCTCTGTTCTCATGGTGGTAGCAGAAGCTGGGGACTTTCAGTTCGTTTGGACACCATAAAATATTAACTACCATAGTTTGGACTGATGTTAGGACTGCTTTCAGTAGCTTGCCCCTAGATCAGCCCTTATTGTTCCACACAATGAGAGAACCGATCTACTTGCGCCTGCAACGGAACTGCGGAGCATTCATATAAAAACGAAAAATCGCGCTTGCTATTCTCACCAAGACATTAACTTTCTCCTGTGTATTCTCGCTTTAAGTCCCGGAGGGAGTTACATGATTCCATTCATTTCTTCTGCGATTCTCAACATGCGACACTGGCGGTATTTTTTCATTGCGCTTGTCCGGAGATGAAGCGGTTTGAAATGCCGAGCAAGCCGATGTGGGTATTGCGCTCTTAGCCCCCGGTCCGAAGCCGTCCTAAACGATTGGATCTCTCAGTGCTTAGCCGGATGTGCGTTGTCAGATTGATTGGCTCGTTCAAAGCATCGAAGTCGCGTGGGGACACACGGTGCTCGTTTGTCATTGCGGCCTACGCGTCCACAAATTCTAGTGCTGATTCGGTGAAAGACGACTTCTAGCACCAATTGAACGCGCTCCTCCATTATAGAAAAAGTACGGATACTGCGTTCCTGGCTGATGATTTGAACGCCCAAGTTGGAAAACTGTGTACTTATGCGCTTCATCTGTGCGGCCAACACGGTGTCGGCTCTCGTGACCTTGGAGTCCACTGCCAAACCCGGTGCATTGCGGTCAGGTTTTTTTACTAGAGGCTTTGGTTGAGAACCCTAATCAGTCTTCTGTCTAGGCTTGGTTAACCTGACAGTATCCTGCACATGCAATGCAACACAATGAATTTAACTCTAAACAATCCCTTGATGCTTTAGCAGTCGCAGAGGATAATAAACGGTGCCCTATTCGCTGCATCGAGCAGGTTGAATTGGGTTTGGATGCGGCTACACAAGCCTTCCCATCTTCTTAATCCCCATCCTACGCTTTTTTATCCTTATCGTCCCTTTCCAACTTCTCTCCCCCCGTTTTCAATCCCCATTTCTTGGCCCTCCTCCACCTTGCTTTACTAGACGGTTATCCTCTAGTTTCGACTCACGTGCAAGCGCGGAACGTCACTGCTGCCCTCTCAACAAACCCATGTTTAACCAAGCGGTGAAGCCCAATTCATCGTCTTCTATTTGGAGCCCTCGATCCTCCCTCAGATAAGCATACCTCAACGTACGCACATTAATACAGATCAGCCAACAGGCAGCACTTGATCCAACGTTAGAAATCCGATCGATATATGCTGCCTATCGGAAACCCGCCTACAAGAATCAAACTCTGTTCGCACTCTGCTATCCCCTTCAGGTGACGCAAGCGGGACTTTCGCATTGCGCCTAGCCGGAGACGATGCAGCTTCGAGTACCGGCCAAGCCAGTGTTGGTATTGCCCTTAGTCTCCGGGCTGAAGCTGCTCTGGTTGATTGGATTCCAATCAGTAGGCGAGTGTGTGCGGTCCAACTAGCTGGCTCGTTCAAGGCTTCGAAGTCGCGGGAGGCTAATATTTGTCTGTTTCTCATCGCTGACTACGCCCCCCACAAACTGTAGCAATGCTTCAGCACACACACACACATGATATACACGTAAGCTAGAGGTGGGAAACACCTCAGCTACTGTGCCGCAATGCCTAAAAGAAAAATTGGGAATAAAATGCAGCAGGTGCAAGCCGGATGAGCTACCGGTAACGGATGGGCATTGTTCCGGTAAGCTATCTGCTGGCTCCTATGCAGCAGAAGAAAATAATTTCTTATGCAAAATTATAAAATGCTACATAATGAGATCGTGGTTGGAAGGGGAGGCTAAGAGGGATGGGGTCGGACGAAGAAAGTCACAGCAGAAACGCCACTGAGGTCGGCTCCTAGCCATGCTTCAGTACAAGACGACTTCTATCGTCAACTGAACGAGATCCTACACCACAGGAAAAGTACGGACGCTATAGTGCTTGCTGGGGATCTGAACGCTCAACATGGATAATTGTCCACGTGGTGTAGGTTCCTTCATCGTAAGGGTTAGCGACTACTTCATTTGTGTGAAGATACTTGTTTACTTTTTGCGAACACTAATTTCCGACCCGGTACCTACCATATGGTGACATGACGCACGCCAGCCTCAGACTTGCCATAGATACAATTCGATCACATTGCTCTCAGTTATCGGTGGAGAGGCTGCGTCCAAAATTGTCGGTCGATCTGGAGCACATATGTGGAGTGAGCATACACTTGTATGTACTGATCTGTTGGTGCATTTTGGCGGTCGCGCTCGACGACCCTGTGAGTTCATAGACACCTGGCAATTGGCGAAGCCAGCTGCTCTGGATGCATATGGATTTGCGCTGGCATTCGGATTGCGTAAGCACTCACTGAATACAGTTGATCACTGATCGCATGTTCACCAGACCTTACTAGAAGGAGGCCCTTTTCACGCAATAAATCCAAAAGCGAACATGGACATTGTGTCTCTACGCAGTCTCTGGAACTTATCGATGCTCGTCGGCGCATTCTGACTGGAAGCGAACATACTGGAACTCACAAAGTGCTTCGAGAAAACTTCATGCTAACCTGAAGAGAAACCGCGAATCCTGATGGTCTCATCGTGCATCAGAGATAAAATTGGTTCGCTGCGCTTGGTAACCATGGGAAGTTGTTCTGTTTGATGCGGGAAACGGGGCGCAGGAGACCCGATGTTAGTGAAACTATACGTGACGAGAGTGGACATTTAATCCACAACTTGTTAAAACGCCTGGAACGTTGAGCTGAGCTCTTTGAAACGCAATTTCTTCGGCCCAGTTTTCGGTCCCCCGATTCTTGGCCCCTTCCCCAACATGTTTTGCTGGGCGTTTCAACTCACATACTAACGCGGAGCGTCACTCCCCTCCTGTCGACAAGCCCATGTCCAACCAAGCAGTCCATTCCAATTCATCATCTTCCATTTGGAGCTCTCGATCCTCCTTCAGATTGGCATGCCTCAATGTACGCACATTACTACAGATCGGTCAACAGGCAGCACTTGCCCGACCATTGGAGACCCTCTCGATCGATATCTGCTGCTTATCGGAGACCCGCCTGCAAGGCTTGAGCTCTGCGATCCCCTTCAGGTGACGCAAGCAATATTTTCTCATTGCGCCTATCCGGTGATGATGCAACTTCAAGCACCGGCCAAGCTGGTGTTGGTATTGCCCTGAGTCCCCGGGCTGAAGCTGCTCTGGTTGATTGGATTCCAATCCGTAAGCGGATATGTGCGGTCCAACTAGCTGGCTCATTCAAAGCTTCGAAGTCGCGCGGGACTAATAGTTGTCTAATCATCATCGTTGCCTATGCGCCCACAAACAGTAGCGATGATTCGGTAAAGAACGACTTCTACCGCCAACTGACCCAGCTCCTTCTCTCCAGAAGAAGCACGGACAATATTGTGCTGGCGGGGGAACTGATCGCACAAGTAGGAAAGTTGTCCACTGATGAAATGCATTTGGGCGGTCAACACGGTGTAGACTCCCATAATGATAACGGTGAGCGGTTATTTCATTTGTGTGAAGATGCCCGCTTATTTCTTGCGAGCACTAACTTCCGTCACAGCACCCGCGGGAGGGTTACTTGGCGCCCACCAGCCTTGGTCACAAATCGATCACATTGAAATCAGTTACCGCTGGAGAGGCTGCATCCAGAACTGTCGCTCGATTTGGAGCACATGTGTGGACACCAATCATGCACTTGTATGTGCTGACATGCGTTTTGGCGGGCGCCCACAACGATGTTGTGAGCACATTAACATTAGCCAACTGGCGAAACCATCTGTTGTGAATGCCTATCAAAGTATGCTGATATGCAAGTTGAGTAAGCGTTCACTGGAGACAATTGATGGTCACATGTTCACCAGACCTTACTAGCAGCAGTCAAATCCTCATGTGGTAAGTCTAATAGGGCATTTTGTCTCTTTGCGGTCTCTGGAACTTATCGGTGCTCGCCGGCATGTCTCGGCTTGAAGTGAACACAATGAAACTCGCAAAGAGCTCCGGGCAAGACTCCGTGCTAGCCTGAAGAGAGACCGCGAATTTCGGTGGTCTCATCGTGCGTCAGAGATGGAAGTGGCCATAACTTATTCCGTCTGATACGGGAAACCGACAGCAGAAAACCTAGTGTTAGTGAAACTATACGTGACGAGAGTGGACAGCCTATCCACAACTTGTCAAAACATTTGGAGCGTTGGGCTGAGCATTTTGAAAACCAATTTAATCGACCAGAATTGTTCGATTCTAAGACGGCCAGTGATCGCCCTGTTCCCTGGGCTATCCCTTTGGATTCACCCTCTCGCTCAGAACTCAAACGTGAGATTGGACTGTTGAGGTTGAACAAAGCCATGGGACCAGATCGTCTTCATCCAGCCCTCTTCAAATTCGGAGGCTCTACTCTTGTTGATGCTTTACATGAATTACTAGTGAAACTGTGGGTGCAGGAGATTGTCCCAACCGACTGGAGCCGCTCCGTTATTGTTCACATCTTCAAAGGAGGCTCGCGTTCGGATGCGGCAACCCTAGAGGAATCAGTCTGATCTCCATCGCCTCCATAATCCTTCACAGACTGACTGGCGCTCGTGAAAGCCATACTCGTGAGGAGCAAGCCGGGTTTCCTCGTGGTCGTGTCTGCATCGACGACATCTTCACCTTGCGTCAGTTGTTGAAACACCATCACACATATTATTGGCCCACCGTAGTCTTGTTCCTCGACATCAAATGTCCCTTCGATTCGGTTGATCGCTG